GGGGGGTGATGCTCTCCATCCCACCCCAGCACGAGGAGGTGAGAGCAGAGCGGAGCCCTCTGGGGAGAGCTGGTGACGTGCTGGTGTGAAGTGTAAACCACCACGCGATGCCGATGGCATCGCTGTGGCCCTCCCAGGCCCCAGGCTGTCATTCTCCTGTGCAGGAGCTGCCCTTCGCCCTCGCTCACGCCATTCCCTGGGGATACAGGTTTTCCTTATCTGCCCTTGTAGGACTTCAGCCACACTGGGCGTTGCTCTCCACCCAAATGGATAGGTGTCCATCAGCCAAACACGAGGCTGGGGAGCAGCAAGGGGAAGGGCAGAGCAACATTTAGCAATAAAACAAGTACTTGCTCATTCGCCAGCTCACCCACACCAAGGGGGCTTCAGGTTTGCTTTCATTTTTTCCCTTTCTCCTTTTTCCCCTGTGCAGGCGAGTGCCAGGAGGTGTTCACCGCCATCAAAGGGAATTTCTCCAGCCCTCGGTACCCCAACTTCTACCCCAACAACCTCAAGTGCCAGTGGAGCATCCAGCTGCCCCCGGGCTACCGAGTCAAGGTCTTCTTCTTGGACATGGAGCTGGAGGGCCGGAGCAGCCTGACGGGCAGCTGTGACTACGACCACCTGGCCGCCTTCGATGGTGGCACCGAGAACGGATCCCTGCTGGGGCGGTGGTGCGGGCGGGAGAGCCTGGCGCCTGTCACCTCCCGCAGCAACCACCTGCTGCTGGTCCTCCACACCGACCGCAACACAGCCAAGAGGGGCTTCTCCATCGCCTACGTGGGAGGTAAGGTCTCACTTGGGTGCTCCTCGATGCTTTACGTCCATCGGGACGTGCCCGAGACCATGTAGCTTCTGGAAGGACCGTAGAGTGAAGATACCCGTGTGCAGGAGCAGAGCACGTGGCTCTTTAGGGATGGTGTGGAGGAGATGTGGTGGATGAGCTCCAGCTCTTGCAGAGTGTGAGACACACATGCTCCATATCGTGTTTAGTATTCAGGAGATGCTTTCCAGCTTCTCCTCCCTGCATCTCTGCTGCTGCCCTGCTCCTGCTCCTCTCTCAGAGCATGAAGGAGAGAAAAAACAGGGGATTTCGGGGGGACCAAAGCCCCAGGGGAGCTGACCAGCTCAAGCATCACAATGCTGTCCCCTGCTCCCCAGCATGCTCTGGCCCTGCCAGCACATGGCTGAGCAGACAGATGTAAACCATGTCCTGTCCTCCATGGGCAGCAACACCTGAGGGGCAGGAACCCTGGGGCACGGTGCTCCCAAACCCACCCGGCCAGCCCTGCCTGGCAGCTCCCTGCCACTGGTGTGCCCAGTGTCCCAGCCGGTGCACCTGCAGCTGGGGGGAGGAGACTTGTGTAACCAGCCTCGTGTATTCACCAACCTTTGCACCTCAAAAGCCACTTGATGGCACTCATTGTATTTTATGGTAATTACATCTGAGGTGACCTGTGTGTCAGGGATGACTCGGGCAGGGGCAGCCTTGCTGGTGGGTTGGAGCCAGAGCAAAGCTGCTGGACTGGCAGCACAGGAGTTGGTGGTGCCTGGCCCTGGGATTATGGGTTTTTACCCCTCAGCAACAAAATCGGCAGCAGAAGGGATTGGGGGGGATGTGGCTCCAGGAGTGAGAGACTGGATGGAGTTTTGTCCTGAGCCTCTGCAGCCTCTGGAAGGAAAGAGGTTGTACTGGACAACTACCAGGGTTTTATTGTGCACAGCAGGTCTGTCCCTGTCCTCTTCCTGCTTATTTCTTACTGTTTTACAGCAGTGTGCAGGGAGACAAATCTTGGCCTCACTTTGTGTGGCCATGGAGAAAGCCCATTCCCGATGGGGGAGCGTGCAGACAGACAGATGAGATGGTAGCTGGAGAGCTGGGGGAAACACCTTCACCGAGAGGGATGTGGCTTCTCCCAGCTGCCCAAGGCTCCTGCAGCCCCTGGTACACTCTGCTGGGTGCATGTTTGGGGAGGGCAAAAGCTTGGACATGAAACCAAGCCTCCCTCTGCAAAGCTAAGGCTGCCTGCTCGCTTTGCCTGGTGCTTCTGGCATCTGCCTGGCATCAGCAGCCTGCGTGGCACCTCCAGCCCTCACCGGGGAGACATCAGCCTCTCCCCACCACTGCCTTCCTCAGGAGCCCTCGGGGCACCTCAGCCTCCACATCCACAGCCCTTCAGCCATGCAAATATTTTCCTTTCAGGCCCGCAACAGGACAAGACTTGGGCTGGGCCTGGTATGATTTATGGCTGTTTGAATGAAAGCCTCCATGCCAGGGGAGAGGATCCATTTTCTCCTCTTGATCTAATGCACTTTCGTTATTTGGTAAATCTTCTAATGGTTTTATAATGCACTAAGCGAAGCAAAGTGACACTATTTTTTTCATATTGATTTTATTGCATCTTACCAGTTTCATAAGGCCAAGATTCAGAGGGAGCTGGAATAATTCAATAATTCATACTGGCCAAGTGGTTGGTTCAAGCTGAGCGAGGATTAACTTTAAAGAAGGGGGCATTTTACCTCCCTGCTGCTTTCCCTGCGTGGATGTTTTCTGCATCCAGAGGGGCCAAATGTGGTGCCAGAGGGAGAGTGATGGAGTGGGCTGGGTTCCCCGTTGCCTCACTCCTCTCCTCGGCAGCTCAAGAGCAGCTCCCTCTGTGCACTGTGTGTCAGCTCCTCAAAATAAACATTTTGGAGGATGTGAAGGGCTGATCACAGAATCATAGACTTGTTTAAGTTGGAAAAGACATTTAAGATCATCAAGTCCAACTGTTAACCCAACACTGCCAAGTCCACCACTAAGCCATGTCCCTCAGTGTCACATCTACACGTCTTTCAAAACTCTTCGGGGATGGTGATTCAACAGCTGCCCCAGGCAGCCTGTTCCAGTGCTTAAACAACCATTTCTGTGAAGAAATTTTTCCTAATGTCCAACCTAAACCTACACTGGTACAACCTGAGCCCCTTTCCTCTTGTCCTATCACTTGTTACTTGGGAGAAGAGACCACCTCCCTCCTTGCTACAGCCTCCTTTCAGGTAGTCATAAAGAGCAAGAAGGTCACCCCTGAGCCTTTTTTTCTTTTCTCCAGAATAAACAACCCCAGTTCCCTCAGCCACTCCTCATAAGACTTGGTGCATAAGACTCATAAGAAGATGATGCCTGGGACAGGACCTGGGCTGGACCTTTCTGTGGGAGGATGTCCTGGGGCTGGAGACCCAGCTCATTCTTCCCTGGGGACCATGTGGCAGCCATGTAGCTGCACCGCTCCAGGACAGGCAGGCGTGGGGGTCCCTCTTAGACGGGTCTTCTCTGTTTTGTCTTTGTAAGAGTGTCTCTTGCAGGGATGTTGTAGCATGGAGCAGAACTCTGTGCCCACAGCAAGCTATCAGCAAAGCTCCCATGTTCTAATCCTGGGCAGCAACTCAAGTGTTTTGCTAGCTTTGCAATGATGGAGAGCAGTTGCTCTCACAGGGTAAATCCTTCCTTGCTTATGGCAGTGGCAGCATGAGGGGGTTGCCTGTAGTGGCGCTGGTGTGTCACTTGGGGAGCTGGGAGAGAGGGGAAGCCTTGAGGTGGTTGCTGGTGGTGTCCCCAGGGCAGAAAGCAGGGCAGTGCCTGGAAGCCAACCATGTCTGACCTTGGCATGGGACAGGGCTAAAATACTGACACATAAAGTAACACTCTCTGCAGTATGAGTGTAGCTCCTTTTTTCCCTGAAAACCCATCTCACCACATGAGTCCTGTGTGAAGCAAGGCCAGGCACTGAGACATGCAGGGCAAACTCATGGAGCCCACGTCCCCACCTCTCCTGGTGCCATCGGTCACCTGCTTCTTGTGGGATGGGGACAGCAGGCTTTGAAATTGGCTGTGGCTCTGCACTGAGCTCCTGCAGCCACTGCAGATGGGAAAATCCCCACCCAACTCACCTCCACGTGTACCTGCTCTTGTGTCCCAACAGTTGTGCCCATGAACGTCAGCTGCACCCGGACAGACTTCCACATCCAGATCCCTGTGCAGTCCCTGGCTCAGATGGAGAGGAAGAGGATTTATCTGGGGACACCCTCCTGTGCAGCCCAGGTGGTTGGTGGGAACTTCAAAATTCACACCAGGTTCGACACCTGCGGCACCGAATCCCAGGTAAGTGGCTGGAGTAGATGGTTGGCCCCATGCTGGTCATACTGCCCATAGAGAGGAGTTCCCAGTCCATCTCCCACCCTCCCAGTAGGTGCTGGTGTGATGTGTGGGCAACTGTCCTCCAAACCCCTTTGATGATGAGCTGCACAAAGCCCTGATGAGCCGCAACCTGTGTCTTGCAGAAACGCAACAGCACCTCTGTCATGGTCAGCACTCTCTACATCGACTTCTCCAAGGGTGACCAGGAGGACATCCACCAGTACGAGGTGCAGTGTGAGCCAAAGAGGAAGGAAGCCTCCGTGACCCTCATTGCCGGCCCTGACCCGTCCAGGCTCAGCCAGGCAGAAAACCTGGTAGATGCCCAGAAGCATGAGGGGGCAGCGACAGACACGCGTGAAATCAAGAGCCAGGACACCAGTGACATCGTCTTTATCAGCATCTGCATCCTGGCCGGGCTCCTCATGGTCATCGCGGTGGTGGGGCTGGTGCTTCTGTAGGAGGTTGCCCTCCATATCTCCAGGGCTCGCAAGCCCAGCCCTGCCCAGGGTGGCAAAACACCCCAAAACCCACGCTCCCTCCAGGCTAAGCACGAACACTGTTGCTGAAATGGAAAAGCAGCTCCCAGGCCCCGAAACAGAGCTTGGACCAGTCTCCACCTCCTCCCAGCGCCTGAAGTATCTGGGCAGTAGGCAGCCACTTCCCTTCCCGACTTGTTTTCCTCTGTCTCAATCTGTCCATTTGGCTCAGGAATGCAATTCTTGTGCTTCCGAACCCTTCCCACACCTGCTTCCATTTGTTTTCCCTCTGGTGCTGCTGCTTTCAGGAGAGTGATGTTGTTTGCCAAGGGCTGCAGATCATCCTGTCCATTATTTCGAGCTGACTCCTTGAAGGTACAAACCATCCCCAAATATAGTGGTATTCCCAGCAAATATTTCCACCTCCCAGCTGTGCTCAGGGGGTGCTGTAGCTCTGTGTTAGAGGTATCTCCACTTGGCAGGTATGGATGTAGCTCATGTGGATGCTTCCGGGCAGTGTTTCTGGATGTCCATGGGTAATGTGATGAGACACATTTGCCGGGTACCCTGGAGCTCCTTGTTTGATCTTTGCATGTTGTCTAAGTCACCCGTTGCTCACAGGGTTCACCTGAGCACTTCAGTCGACAGCAGCTGGAGGGAAGGAGAACGATTTCTCTTCTTCTCTGTGTTTTCCTCCTTTCCAGCATACCCAGGTGTCCACCACTGTGAGCTCCACAGCAGCATTGCTCCAGGAGCCTGAAACCATGGGCACGGAGGTTTTGGTAACCTTTTAAAGATGGCCTCAGCAGGAGGGCCTGGCTCCCCTGGGATTGACATGGTTTTTGCTGCCAGCCTCAGTGACAGCAGACCCCCACCTCACATAAGGTAAGCTCAACAGCTCAGGGCGTGAAAATAGGAGTCCTGGAGTCACCTGCACCTCCAGAAAACTTGGGTTTCTCCCCAAGAGCCTTGATGCTACCGACTGTTGCATGGCCAGACAACCCCCACCTGCCTCTTGTGCTGTACCAAGAGACAGGAAATTCCCTTGCAGCATCACACAGGGGGTGGCTGTCTCAGAGCAGCCCATGTTTGTCCTGGTGAAGGTGTCACAGTTTAGGTTCTACCCCAAACCAGGAGAGGTCAGAGCCAGTGTCCAGTGAAGCACACCCCTCTCGCTGCCACATCCACCGGCGGGAGTTCTAGCAGTGGCCAACAGGACAGTCCCATAGGTGCAGGGCTTCCCTGACCCATGTCCTGCTCCCCGTGCCTGCTGGGACAGCTCTGTACATCAGGGCATCAGAGGAAGCTGCCTTAAGGAAGAAGGACAGTGAGTAGGCAGCTTCTCCTCCTGGTTTGCACCAGCCCACGGCAGAATCAGGCAGTGTCTGGGGAGAGGAGCAGGCACAACCCTGCACACACTTCCTAACGAGGAGCCTTTGTTACCAGAGCCCGGCTTGCTCCGTGCAACATGTTGGCAAACGTGGGATTCCAGAGTGAAACATTTGCCAGTGCTCTTAAGCTCCATTAAGGCAACATTTTGAGAGCTGTTGCCTACATAGATGAGAAACAAGATGCTACAAGGCCAGACCACCCTGCTGCCTGCAAAGCCTCGCTGCCAGTTAATTGCTAGGTATATAACTGTCAGCTCCAGACGATTGTTACAAGATTTGACAACTGAAGAAACTTAAAGATATAATTACCCTTCCTAGCAGCCCAGATTTTTGCTGAAACAGGTGAACATTGCAGCCACTCGTGCCTGGAGAGCAGGGAGCTCACAGCAACCGGCAGCATCCAGCCCCTTGTCCCCAGGACAGGAACATCCTCACCCAGCTAGAGCCTCTGGCACCCCACCATTTGCAGGGAAAAAGGCTTTTCTGGGCAGCTGCTTGTGGTGCACTCAAATAAGGAGCTGAACCTGGTCTAGAGCCCAGGGAGGGTTTGCAGCTTCTGCTCTGGTCCGAAGCCACCCAAGCATCCCTGGTGCAACCCTGAGGATGCAGGACTGGAGCTGCAGGAGCAGCTCTGCTCCCCTGAGCCAAGGGGGACACCCCCAGCACCACAGGGCGATAGCCAGGGGCTCATGGCCAGGGTGACTGACACAACTTGAAGCCTTGCAAAAGCCCTTTCCCAGCTCCTTCCTGGATGTGTTCCCAGCTGCATCTGTGGCTGCCAGAAGCAGTGAGCCACTCGGGCTGGTCACCCCCCAGGGTGCGAGGAAAGCCTCCTGACTGAACCCAAATCCTCCTCCACCTCCACTCATCCTCTGGCATGCCTCAGCCTCTCATTTTATCCTTTAGGTTTTGTCAGCCAGTCTCTCTTTTTCCTCGTATCTAGCCTAAATCTACTCTCTTTTAGTTTAAAAGCGTTACTGCCTGTTCTGTCACAACAGGACCTGTTAAAAGTCTGTCCCTATCTTGCCTCTAAGCCCCCTTTAAGCACTGGAAGGCTGCCATAAGGTCTTCCCAGAGCTTTCTCTTCTCTTCTCTTCTCTTCTCTTCTCTTCTCTTCTCTTTCTTTTCTCTTCTCTTTTCTCTTCTCTTCGCTGAACAACCCCAGATCCCTTAGCCTCTCCTAGGAGAGATGTTCCAGCCCTCTGATAGTTATTGTGATCATGGGGACAGAGGTAACACTTGAAGCCTGACTGTGCCCCCAGCCTGGCAGTTGGGATGTGGGAGCACCACCTCTCCCCAGTTAATGCAGGATTGGCTCTCATGCAAGATGGCAATGGCCAAATGGCTCACAAGGTGCCTGCAGCCCAGGCCCCCATGCCCCCCAGCCCCCTGCTCTATTGCTGATAACTCCTCCTAGATTTCCAGCCCAGACATGCTCCCAGCTGGTTTATCCTGCTTGCCTCTGCATCCCCTGCTCCCACAATCACCTGATAGCTTCCGCAGCTCCTTTCCCGCACCGTGTCTGGGTGTTCCCCTCCCCAGCACCCCTTTCCCAGGAGCTGGTGGCAGCCCAGGGCTCAAGGAGGCACCAGTTCATTCATCACCACGATAAGCAACATGATGCAAAACAAGCAGAAGCTGCAGAGAGAGGTAAGGGGGCAGGAGGAGAAAGGAGAAGCCTGACTATGGTCTGGAGCTGTTCTGGACTTGCAAATTAGTTTTCATAAGAAATCTGTGTTCATTTGATCTCCTCCATGCAAGCAAAGCTCCCCAGAAATGGATCAAGGGACATCTCTGTGGGCCAGAGGGTTTCCCTGCCAGGACTGGTGCTGCTGCTGAGCGTGGCCACGGCACGGAGAGGAGCGGCACCCGTGGCAGTTCTCCTTCAGCAAGCACATCCCTCCTGTCCCTGCGGGTGAAGACCCCGGCCCCAGCAGCACGGGAGGTCGCACGGGGACAGCTGGCAGGGGACAAGACCCCAGCAAGCAGCTGCAAAGGCCTGGCTGGAGAGGAATCCCAACAGGGGAGGGGGACGGTGCAAGCACACAGCTTGGAGAGAGAGACGGCCTGGGTCATTTTGGGAAACAAGCCCTTTTTCTGATGTAAAAGCCACTCAGATCTGTGGCAAACAGCTATCAGGAATCCCTCACCAGTTTTCCTTCCCTCCACCATGCCTGTGGTCCTCATGCATCGGGCTCAGTTTCCCTTGGAGTGTTTGCCCAGTGCTTCCCTAGCTGGCAGGAGCGTGGCTCCCATTAGGATTATTTCTTCAGAGCCTGATGATTTGGTTGTGCCGGGCTGAATGCAGCCACCACGTTTCCTGGCTTTGCTTACGTGGAGTTGGATCTCCAGACAAAGAGCAGACAAAGGCTTTGCTGTTGTGCAGGAGGGAGAGCCTCTGCTACCCCTCTGCAAGCCTCTCCTGCAGAGCTGGTGGAGAACATTTGCTGAAAACCACAGATGCTAAAACACAGGACTGGAAGAGCCCCCAGGAGGTTGGTTGGTTTTTTCCTCTCCCTCCCTGGGGAAATTGCTCCTACCAGAGAGAAGATGGGCTAAAATATCCTAAACATCTCAGCCACGCTCACCATGGTTTAGAATCATAGAATAGTTTGGTTTGGAAGGGGTCTCTAAAGGTCATCTAGTGCAAGTCCCCTGCAGTGACCAGCACCATCTACAACTAGAGCAGGTTGCTCAGAGCCCAGTCCAACCTCACCAGGAGTGTTTCCAGGGATGAAGCTTCTACCACCTCGCTGGACAACCTGGGCCAGTGTTTCACCACCCTCAGTGTGAAAAATTTCTTCCTTCTATCTAGTCTAAATCTCCCCTCTTTTAGTTTAAAGCCATTACCTCTTGTCCTGTTGCAGCAGGCCCTGCTAAAAAGATTGTCCCACGTTTCCTTTATTTACCAGGAAGGTTTTCTTGCTGGTGTGCTGCTGGGTGCTGTGCTTTTGTGCTGCTGCACTGGGCAAGTGCAATGGTGATGGAAGCACCCCAAAATGGGCATGGCTGCCTCTACAGGACCCTGACCCTCCTGCCCAGAGGTAGGAGGCTGGAACTGGGCAGGATGGGGCATTCCACTGGGGCTCCCAGCAAACACATATTGTCATGATCCACAACACAAGGGTCTGGCAGCCTTTGAAAATCCCCCCTGCAGCCAGGGCAAGCCCATTCAGATGCAGCTGGTCATGCCATGGTGGTCACGGGCAGCCTGGAGGAGCCTCAGGGCCTGAGGTCTCTGCAGGGGGTGCAAACTCAGCACAGCTGAACTCAGCTCTGCAGCTGAACCCAAGCTTGCTCAGAGTCCCCTGCTGCCCCCAAAGCTGTGGGTGGGCTGGTGGAGCACCCTGGGAGTGGGAAGGAGCAAGGTGCAGGCAGGGTGCCAGCCTGCCTGAGCTGACATCGCTGCTCTTCAGTCCCCTGGAGCAGCCAGAGTGAGGGAGGCGAGAGGCTGAGCAGCACCATGTGTGGGTGAGCTCTGGGGATCCCCTGGGGCTGGGTGACTCTGTGCTGGGCCCCCCCAGGGGCACTGGGTCTATTCCTGCAGTGGAGGGTAGAGCTGAGGGCTCTCTGGCTGCCCGTGCACTGCTT